ATTTCTATTTCTAGTCTTTTAAGGAAGTGCCACATTGTTTTCCAAAACGGTTATACCATTTTGCATTCCCAACAGCTATGCATAAGCGTTTCAATCTCCCCGCAACCTCTCCAACATTTGTTATTTTCTGTTTTTTATTTTTTTAATTCTTGCCAGTAATGTTGGGGTGAGATGGTATCTCACTGTAGTTTTGATTTGCATTTCTCTAATGGCTAGTTATTGGAGCCCTGGCGGCACAGTGGTTAAGCACTCAGCTGCTAACCAAAAGGTCGGCAGTTTGAATCCACCAGCCGCTCCCTGGAAACCTTATGGGGCAGTTCTTCCCTGTCCTATAGGGTCACTATAGGGTTCCTACGAGTCAGAATTGACTCGACTGCAATGGGTTTGTTTTTTTTAATGGCTAGCGATTGCAAGCATTTCCTCACGTATCTGTTAGTTCCCTGAATGTCTTCTTTGGTGAAGTGTCTGTTCATATCCTTTGCCCATTTTTTAATTAGATTATTTGTCTTTTTGTTGTAGAGGTGTGAGATTTTCCTACAGATTTTGGAGATTAGACCTTTGTCAAATATGTCATAGCCAAAATTTTTTTCACAGTCTGTAGGTTCTCTTTTTACTCTTTTGGTGATGTCTTTTGGTGAGCATAAGTGTGTGATCAGTGACCTCTGATGTTCGTATTATGATTGTTTTGGGGCGCTACAAATGGTGCGCGTATAAGACAGCTAACTGAATTGATAAATGTTGCGTGTGTTCTGACTGTTCCACCAACTAGCAGTTCCCATCTCTCTCCCGCTCCTCAGGCCTCCCTATTCTCTCAGGCACAACCTTCTGGAAAGGATTCATCATTCTAGATGCCATTAAGAACATTCGTGATTCATGGGAGGTGGTCAAAACATTAGCACACTCCTCCTTTTCACCCTGATTTCCTGTGTCCATTCAACCAGCTCTCGACCCTGTCTGCCTTATCATCTCACCTCCAGACCGAAGCTGCCCATTTAGTCTCATGTATCTACTTGAGCTAAGAAGCACACTCTTCACGAGTATCATTTTATGTCCCATAGTCCAGTCTAATCTTTGTCTGAAGA